TGAGGATGGACGAGTACATGTTGGCGTAGAAGGCCACGGTGACCACGTTGCACAGCAGCTCCCCGAACACCCAGTGGTTCCCGTTGCAGTGGTAGTAGATCTGGAAAGGGAGCACGCTGGCCAGCATCAGGTCCGTGACGCTCAGGTTGATCATGAAGATGACCGACGGGGACTTGGGCCCGATGTGGCAGCAGAGGACCCACAGGGAGAAGAGGTTGCCCGGGATGCTGACCAGCGCCACCAGCGAGTACACGACGGGCAGGACCACCGCGATGGTCGGGTCGCGCAGCATCAGGATGGTGGCGTTGTCCGGCCGTGTCATGTTCATATCCATCCTGGCGCTGCGGCTCCCGCGCCTGCGCAGGTCTGAAAGGCAAGGGGCGCTCAGGTGAGGAGGGGAGCAGGGCGGGACTCCCTGCGGGCCCCCCTCTCTGGCCTCCCCAGCAGTCCCGCACCCCTGTGTGCACCGGCTGTGGTCCTCCTGCGTCACGGAGCTGAGCTAAGCGCGCTACATCCTGCAAAGGCGCAGGACTTGGACATTCGCTCCCGTCCTGCTACTGGGACGCGCAGGGAGCGTGCTGCAAGCTATGGCGCAGCGGCTTCATCGTTGGGGCCAGGAGGACGCGAGGAGAGGCACGCCAAGGGATTGGGGGGTTACAGACTTACGGAGGCGCAAACCGGGCTTCCGGCCGCGGAAGTTTCTTGGGGACCCCTGGAAAGTGGAGGAGGCGACCCCAGGCCCTCCTGACTTTCGCTGGTGCTCCACCTCGCCTCACGAGGGCGCTGTGTCGTCAGCACTAACCATCCCGGCATCTCCACCCGGGTCACCGGTTCCTGGCCTCGTGCTTTCTTCTGTTTCGAGCTTCGACACCCCGGGTCCGCTCACCTGCATCTGAGGCCCTAATCTTGGGGTGTCCACTGCAGGGGTGCGGGGAACTTTGGAGGCTCTGATGAGGGCTCTGGGAGGGCTCCACACAGACCAGGCAGGAAGTCCCCTGCTCCCTCACCAAAGGCCCCACAGCCCCCGCTCCCCATCCATTTAAGGGCATGGCCACGGGTGGAGGGACTAGTGCGCCCACTTGTCACACAGCTGTTTCACATCTCCGCTTCAAGGTAACAACACCCACGCGCTTGTCTCGAGATACAGCACGTATGCACCTGTCCCCGCGACCAGACACGCGCCCTCCGGTGTGGTTTCAAAGCCCCAGCGCCCTCCCAGCCTCCCAGGTCCAGGAAGCCAGATGCCCAGGAGGGCAGCCCTGTCCGGCTGGGGCAGACAGAGTGCCTGACTGGTGTCCACATTACCATCTGGGTCTTACCTCTGCTTTGTTCTCTAGATTTCTCAACTCAGGTCCTGTGCCTTTCCCCGGGCTATGGGCTGAGGCTGGGGGTGGGTTCCATAACAGTCAGAATATGTACCAAGAGGGGAGGACATGGCAAACTCCGAGCATTTTGCTTATCCAAGTTTTCCAGAAACAGGGATTTCGTTTCTTTATTGTGGTCCAGGACCAGGGGATCCCGGTCAGGCCCCGTCTATGCCCTGTCTGTGACCCAGGCCTGATCAGGCAGGGTTGATGGGGGTGGAGATCTGGCTGCGGGAGGTACAGGTTGTTTGTGCCATGGGTCCCCACTCATCCAGCTGGGCGTGCATGTGAGGGTGTCTGTGAAGGGGTTTCCTAGGTGCGGCTCTGGAGCCAAGCAGCTGTCTTGAAGTAAAGACATGATGCTCTGTCCTGCGGTGGGCCTCGTCTAATCAGGGGAAGGCCTGAAAAAGGAAACACTGAGGTTTCTGCGGGGTCAGGTCTCTCCTGAGTCTCCAGCCTGCCCCCCTACCTTGCAGATTCCAGGCTCACGAGCCCTGCCATCCTGGGAGCCCAATTCCTTGGTGTCAATTTTTTTTTTGTATCTCTATCTATACACGCATGTGTGTTTATACACATATATACACATACATGTTCTATTACATAGATTTACGCACATGTATGTGTATGCAACCATGTCCAATCGTGCATGCAATGCATTGTGTGTATTGTATACGTACCTGTATACGGACCCGTCCTATTACATGTTTATCCTGTTGCATGTGTATATGGTCCTTCTATAGCACATGAATCCTACTTCATAAAAATACACGCATGTATTCATACATGTACGCTATCCTATACGCATTGTATCGCATGTGCACACGCATGTGTTTTCTATTACATATATGTTTGCACCCACAATAGCTAGAGTACTTGCCCTGCTGCACATACGTGTATGCGTGTAGACACACACACACCATTGTGTACGCTCTGTGGCGTACACGTTTATATATACATGCACACATGCAGGGTGTCCTTTGACCTATATACACAGGTCTTCCTGCGTATATACACACACTTGAATGCATTCATGCACACGTATCCTCTCGTGTGTATATGTACGCACACACGTGTATATCCTGCGTATGCGTCCTACATGTACAGATGCTCACACCCCCACACACGTGTTCTGTGGCATGACGTCCCCTTGTGCATGTCCACATGAATGAAGGTGCTAAGCACAGATGTGTGTACATGCACATATACATGCACATGTGTACAGATGTAACCGTATGCGTACGTGATCGTATACATGCACGCAATGTGTGCACACGTGCGTACACGTGCATGCACATGTGTGTATTGTTTATATGAGCGCGTGCATGTTCTGTGGTGCACACACCCTACTGCGTTCATACACGTACATCTAGGTGATGTGCAGCCACAGATGGACATAGGTCTCCATCCTTTTGTGCCTGTTTCTCTGCAGAATGCTTGCGCATACAGGGGTGACGGACGGACCGCCGAGGGGCCTCATGGCGGCCGGGAGGTAACTATTAGCTGTTCCTTACATTTGTGCCGATTCTCATCTTAAGAGATTGTAGGCCCCTCACACGTGCTCCCACAGGCAGTGTCGTGGTGGGGCACCCGCTCCGGCCTCTGACCTCAATCCCCAGGTGTGTACCGAGGCCCAGCCCGTGCCCTGCTCCTTGTCAGGACACGGGTGCTGCTCCTGGGGGACGGGGTCTCCTCTGATGGTGCATTTGGCCCCAGGCGCCGTGCACAGCCCACAGGGACCTCGGCAATCAGGGTGCCTGCCCCACGCGGCCCGATCTCTGTCCCTCATTTGCATGAGGCTCAGACATCTGCTGCTTTCCACGACGGCCTCCCTGTTTGTCCTGGTGCAGACATTTTCTCTGATGAAAATCTGTGCATGCTGTGTCCTGGACACCCCTGCCCCTTGGAGCGTCCGGAGAGACACAGATGGAGACAGACCCAGGGGGATTCTCTGCAGACGGCGCTCTCGGCCCTGGAGGAACATTATGATGTGTGAGTGGAAGTGGGAGCCCCTTGCCACATCTTAGTTATCTGTGTCCATGTGTGCAACCGGGACCTGGCACCGCGGGACCTGGTACCGAGAGACGTGGCTTGGCGTTGCAGACACCCGGGAACATGGGCTGGAATCCCCGCGGGGGACCCTGGAAACCCGCTCCCCTGCCCCCTTTGCAGCTGGTTTGCCTTTTAGGTTTCACAGCCTGATGGAGCGTGGTGGGAGGACCGAGGGCGAGCGGCTCTCCAGGAATCAGCCTGGAATATGGAAACCACATTGGACGCAGCAGGTGAGATCCGTCTCCCGCTGCTGCTGGAACTGAACTCGCGTTTCTTCTGCGGACCTCCCAGCCCGGGCTCTTCCGCTCCCACGGAGGAGTGTGCCACGCTGTACACCCCGCTGCTGGCCGCCCGTCCCTCGCACCCCTCCCTGAAAGTCGAGGTGCTTTCTTTGGTTTAAACAGTCTGGGGGGATTGCTTTGGTGGTTTCCTTCTCCCCTGCGCCCACCTGGACCGTATCTGGCTTCTCCACTTTCGAGTGCTGGAAAAATGCCGTCCAACGTTGAAAGTCAGGGGGAAAGAGAGCACTGTGGGTGCCTTTTCTGGGTTTCGGAGACAGTGCCTGCATGGGGCAGCCCGGCTTGGGGTCAGCTGAGGACGTTTAGTGGGGGCTCGAGGACACATCTTTAGGGTGCCTTCAGGGAGGGTGACATGTGATGCTGAGTTGACGGTGCAGCCGGCACACCATGGCTCCCTGGGGACATGGGGCTCTCTGCAGGCCGGAGGAGAGGGCCTCCTAGAACCTGTCCATCTACGAGAAATGAGTGTCGGTGAAGCCGTCCTGTCCGTCGGTGTGGTTCTGTGACAGTGGCTTGAGCTGACCCGTCCACTATACTGATGGCCTCAGACCATAGCTGCTGGCCGTGCCCCAGCTACACTGACGGCCTTAGTCCATTGCTGCTGGCCCCTCCACTCATTATACTGATGGCCCCAGGCCTTGGCGGCTGGCTCCTCCAACCATTATACTGATGGCCCCAGGCCATTGCGGCTGGTCCCTCCAGATGTAATGCTGATGGCCCCAGGCCATTGCTGCCGACCCCTCCAGCCATTATACTGATGGCCTCAGACCATTGCTGCTGGCTCCACCACCCATTATATTGGTGACTTCAGACCATTTCTGCTGGCCCCTCCAGTCACTGTACTGATGGCCTCAGGCCATTGCTGCTGGGCACACCACCTGTTATACTGATGGCCTCTGGCTGAGGGGGGGGGGGTGTGGATAACGAAGTTTGGGGGATAAAAAAGTTGCAACCTGCAGACCCAGACCTGGGGTTTGGGGAGTGAAGAATGTTGCAAGCCCAACCCGCAGACAAGCATGGGGCCTTGGGTTTTCCTGCAGAAACAGAATCTCGGGGTGGGGGTGGGGGTGGGGGGGTCCCTGGGTGGCTCAGTCATTAACAGTCAGACTTCAGCTCAGCTGATCCCGGCATCCTGGGATCGAGCCCCATATCCAGCTCCCTGCTCAGAGGAAGTCTGCTTCTCCCTCTCCCACTCCCCCTACTTGTGTTCCCTCCCTCAATGCATCTCTCTATCAAATAAATACAATCTTAAAAAAAAGAAAAGAAAAGAAAAGAAACAGAACTTCAGGGCTGGCCCAGAGGCCTTGGCTGTGGGGCTGGAAAGCCCCCGCACGGCCCTCGGGGCACATTATGCAAAGCAGCTTTTGCAGACAATCCTCGGGGTTTCGGTCCTTTTTAAAAAAACCTTCTTTGGCCTGCTGTGATTTCCGGCTGGCCGGCGTGAGCCAGCCCTCTCTGTCTTCCGGACCGGAAGGTCTGGAGGGAAGCACCTGCGTGGGTCACACTGGGCGGGCGAACCCATCTCTGTCAGGTGCTCCGAGGCCTCTGTGCAGCCCCCACTCCCTGAGGCAGGAGGGAGGGCGCAGGTCTGCAGGGACACCGGTTCCGCCCGCAGTGGCCAGGGCCTGGGGAGGAGGCCAGCGGTGCTGTACCTGTGGTGCAACAGTGGACGATGGCGACACCCGTGAACACGCTGTGCTCTTTCCCGTTCAACCTGCAAGATGTAATCGGCATGACTGTGTCCCCCTTGCCAGAGCCGTGCTCTGTGGCACATGCCCGCCACCCTGCTCTCAGCCGTCCATTTGCTGTCCTGCAGCAGAGTGAAACATGGGTGCACGGTGCACGGCGCACGGCACGGCCCCGGGGTTGAGGCGCCCTGAGGTAGAGGCTGAGCATGTCCGGCCCGGAGGGAGACTGGCCATCTGCCTGTAGCCCGAGCAGAGCTCGTGGGGAGAGCCAAGCACACGGAGGTGGGCAGGGGGAGACCACCACTCAGAAGTAGGACAGGAGACCAGGAATAAGAGCTCATGGACACACGGACAGCCGGGAGGGTGGCCAGGTAGGCTGTGCACAGACCCCTCCCCAGGCACAGACCCCACTGGCCCTGCTCCAGACCTGCCCCAGTGCTGTTCTCAGGGGGATGACCGTCTGCACCGACCTGGAAAGCATCCTGTATGCGTCCTGCTTGTCCACCGGCTTCTCCAGAATCAACCCCCCGATGGTCTGCAAGAGAACCAGGGAGGAATTCACTCTCACTCAGCTGGATCTCACCATCCGCACCTTGACTTTGGTCACCAAGCACACACAAACCAAACTGGAGGCCAGAACGGGGGCCCCGAGGGGGGACTCACCACAATGGTATCCGCTCCGATGACAACGTCGGGGGCCCGGAGGTCCTTCTGCAAGAAATCCGAACCCAGCTTTAGAAACGACGTCCCTATGGGTCTTCCACAAATACCCTGATGGGGTGACGGGTGGGCACGAGGCCACTCTCACTTCAGAAACTAAGACGTGGTTGTCCTCAATGTCCCGAACAAGGACATGAACGTGACTCCAAATCCTCCCCAAGCTATCCTGAATTAAGGACAAAGCCGGTGTTTTCTGGCCCACTCAACAGAAGTTGAAACTTGGTCAATACACTGGACAATAAAATAAATCCAAGTAGAAAATTCACGGTCATCGGGGATCTGTATGGAACCTTGAACTTAGCTTGTACGTAAATATTAACTTTTCCACTGTCGAAAATCAGTTGATCAACACTTGCTTATTTCTATCAATACTTCTTACAGCATTCAGTACCGTGCATTTGTTGTTACGTTAAATGCAACAGGGGATTGTAACACTTAGCAATAACAATGGACATTAATTCTGTATCATAAATGATGCTGTTCTTGTCACTAATAGCATATCGTATAGTAATAGTTAAGCTATGTCCATTCTACGTCGTAAGTGATACTGTTGTCCTCATGGTAACACCGTATTATATAGTAACAGGAGTAGTCCAGGTCTGTTAATTTTGTGTCATAAATAATGACATAACAGTCACTGCAATAACGTATCATATAGTTTTATATGGTAATATTTTAGGTCCGTTAATTCTGTACCGTGAGTGATGCTCTTATACTCATCACAACACTGTATTACATAGTAATGTATAAGAATACTTCAGGTCTGAAAAAAAAGAATAGTTCAGGTCTGTTCATTTATTTTGAGGGATGCTGTTATGTTATCCACAAGATTACTTGTATAGTAATACACAGTAGTACGTAATCTATATTCATTCTTTTTTTTTTTTTAAGATTTTATTTATTTATTTGACAGAGAGATCACAAGCAGGCAGAGAGGCAGGCAGAGAGAGAGGAGGAAGCAGGCTCCCCTAGAGAGCAGAGAGCCCGATGCGGGGCTCGATCCCAGGACTCTGAGATCATGACCTGAGCCGAAGGCAGCGGCTTAACCCACTGAGCCACCCAGGCACCCCTATATTCATTCTTTATTATAAATGATACTATTAGGTTAATTGTAATAGTATTTTACATAGTAGCCCATAGTAATAGATGAGCTACATTAATTTTTTTTATAGATTTTATTTATTTATTTGACAGAGAGAGAGAGATCACAAGTAGGCAGAGAGGCAGGCAGAGAGAGAGGAGGAAGCAGTTTCCCTGCCGAGCAGAGAGCCGATGTGGGGCTCGATCCCAGGACCCTGAGACCATGACCTGAGCCAAAGGCAGTGGCTTAACCCACTGAACCACCCAGGCACCCCAAGCTATGTTAATTTTTTTATGGTAAATGGCACCACTCTGTTAATCCCAATAGCATGTTACAGAGTAACAGACGGATATGAACCATGTTATATCAAAGATACTGTTATATTAATTATAAGAGCACGTTACATTGTTAACACTCATTGGTAGATGAGCTACCATAATTGTATACGATACAGTAAATGGCGTTTATGGACGGCATGTGCACGGAGACCCTGAGACCGCCGTCCCAGCAAGAGAATTCTGTGAAGACGCAGGAGCAGAGCACCCTTGCCTGATGCATCCTTCTGGCGACCTCCAGGGCCTTCTGCTTCGCTGTTTCGATGGCATAGGCATAAGGCGTGGGGAAGGACGCTTTATCAAGCTTCTCTTTGAACCTGGAAGGAACCACCTCGAACCGGAGACCCTGGAAAAGGGGAGATCGGGGTCTTGAGGGTTGGCAGGAAGAACCCAAGGACGCTGAGCAGCAGGGCGCCCGACTTACAGTACAGGTGGCCTTTGCCACGTGCCAGGAAGATGCCAAACGCTGACCAGTGCCAACTCCCAGCTGGCTGGGGAGGCGCGGGGGCTGGCTGGGGCCCAGCGGACCTGCTGGGGAGACATCAGTACACAGAAGCCAGCAGGAGAGATTGGTTAGGGCACTGGGTTGTGAGGCTCTGTGGGGTCAAAGGGCTGCCAGGGTGTCCCTGAGGCCGGCATTTCATCCCACGGTGGATAAACAGCTGAAAACGTCCACCTGCACAAAATGCCACAGAGGACTGATAGCAGTCCCCAAACATGTGTGGACAGGCAAGGCAGTCCCCTGTGGGGAGCTGGTCGAGCAGTGACACCCCGGAGTTTGTGGGAACAGGAATGTGGGCCTTGAACGCAAAGGGTCAAACTCCCCCCACCTCTGGGCAGTGCCCCCCCCAACAGAGCTCCCCTGGTCAGAGCTCTGACCATCCCTCCCCACACCTCTCTGAGGGGCCCCCCTTGGTCCTTGGCCTCCTATACCCCGTTTTCCCTGGATCGCCTTGTGAGCCATCTTCTGGTCTGTACCCACCCCAACCCCTCCTCCTATCTCCAGTACCCCTGCCCCCCAGACAGGGCGTCCCCATGGAAACCACGTCCCCTCTACTCTGGCTCTGTCCGTCCCCCACTACCACCTCCAGGATGGACACAGGTCAGGCACAGACATGGCCTTGGCCCAGAAACCTGCCCCCCGCCCCCACGCCCCGGCCAATAGGTTCTCGGCCACTCAGCCTGGCCTGAAGACTCCGTTCTCAGACCATGCAGACTGCTACTACCGTCAGTCCCTGGGACCCTCAATCACTATGCCACAGCTCTGACAAAGACCCCGGTCTGCAGAGCCCTGTTCCCCCATCACACAGAGTCCCACTTTCCCCAGCCTGCAGCCCCCAGCTCCCGGCCTGAGCCACAGGTCGCTAGACCCCAGTCAATGGGTCCCAGGGTCACCAGGACCCCTGGCACTAGCCCAGCTGGTCTGGTCAGTAAGCCCCCAGCACCGGGCCCTTCTGGGTGACCAGGGCCCTTGGCTCCAGGGACCAGTCACCAGACCACCTGCTTGGGTCACGAGGTCTCTGGTCACCATGAACCTGGACACCAGACCACCTGGCACCAGTCCCTTCCTTTCACTAGGCTCCTGGTTCCCAAGCCCCTAGGAACAGGCCCCCAGGCACCAGGATCCCAATCACTAGATCCCCCAGTCACCAAGACCTCCCCTTTCCACACCTCCCCCCACAGTTGCCCCCCTGACCTCCCCACCTCCCAGGTCTCCAGACCCCTGCCCCAAGCCCCGGGCCCCCAGGTCAATAGGTCTCCGGCTTCCCAACCCCTCTCCCATGCCTCCACCGCAGAACCAAAAGCCCCAGTACCAGAGCTCCTATCACCAGGTGCCTCACTCCCCGAGATCACCAGAGTCTCGGGGCCCAGTTCCCCAGTGACTAGAGCCCCAGATCACCAGACCCCAGCTCCAAACCCCCGGATCCACCGGTCCCCGGATCACCAGATCCCCAGCTCCAGGCCCCCCGGAACACCAGGTCCCGGGATCACCAGATCGCCAGCTTCAGACCCCCAGGTCACCAGGTCCCCAGATCACCAGGTCCCGGGATCACTAGATCCCCAGCTCCGACCCCCCGGAACACCAGGTCCTCAGTGAGCAGAGCCCCAGGTCACCAGACCTCCCGGCGCAGGCCCCAGGTGCCCCAGATCGCCAGGCCCTCAGGCTCCAGGCCCCCCAGGTGCCCAGGTCAGTAGGCGCCTGGTCCCAGACCCCCTCACCCTCCTCCGCACGGCTCCAGTCCCCCAGGTCCGCAGACCCGGAGGCACCAGACTCACGGCGCCCGGCGCCGCCGCAGACCCCAGCCCCAGGCCCTGCGCAGGCCGCTCGCTCACCGCGTGGCTGAGGATCTCCCGGCGGCGCGGGGAGGCGCTGGCCAGCACCACGCGCTTGTGCAGCAGCTTCCCGATGACCGGGCTCAGCACCATGGCGCCCCGAACCCCGCGCCGCGCACCCCGCGCGCAGCCGGACCCGCAGCCGGATCCCCACGCCCGCGCCGCGCGCTCCGGACCCAGTGTGGCCCCGCCCCCAACGAAGCCCCGGCCCGCGCGACGCCCCGCCCAGGCCCCGCCCCGCCCTCCGGAGCCCCGCCCTGCGCCGCGCACATCGGCCGAGTGAGGCCCCGCCCCCAACGCGGCCGCGGCCCGCTCGACGCCCCGCCCAGGCCCCGCCCCGCCCCGCCCGCCGGAGCCCCGCCCTGCGCCGCGCTGCTCTGCAGAGTGAGGCCCCGCCCCCAACGCGGCCGCGGCCCGCTCGACGCCCCGCCCAGACCCCGCCCCGCCCCGCCCGCCAGAGCCCCGCCCCTGCCTTCCCCTTCCGGACCCCAGGCTGCGCGTCCCCTCCACCCCGCGCCCCAAAACCAGCTGCGCCCGCCGAGGGGCTGGGGGGAGGTCGTTGCGGACGATCTCCGAGAACCCGATGTCCCGGCACCCCTTGGGGGCAGTGGGGGCGGGCGCAGAGATGGGGGCGTCTCCGGGAGGTGGTGGAGGGGGTGAGGAGATGGGGGTCCCTGGGGCACCGCGGAGGGTGCGGAGATGGGGTCCCCGAGAGCACAGTGGGGCGTGGAGGTGAGGGTGTCTCCGGGAGGAGGTACGGAAATGGGGGGGGTGCGGAAATGGGGGCCCCAGGGCACGGCGGAGGGTGCGGAGATGGGGGTCCCTGACAGCGCGGCACGGGGTGCGGACATGGGGGTGCGGAGATGGGGTCTCAGGGGCACGGCGGAGGGGGGGAGATGGGGTCCCCGAGAGCACAGTGGGGCGTGGAGGTGAGGGTCCCTGAGACACAGGTGTTCCCCGAGAGGCAGTGGGCAGAGATGGGGGTTCCCGGGGCAGGGGGCGTTGCAGACTGGCCCTCGGTTGACACAGGTAAACAGGTAGTAGATAGGGAGAGAGAGAGGGAGACCTGTCCTGCGAACTGTGGGGGGCTTCTCAGCCTCCGGACTGCTGACATTTGGGGGGCAAGTCGGGGCGACCTGCGCACACCACGGTGTCCCGCGGCAAGCCCAGTTTGCGCCGCTAGATGGCAGTGGCTTCCTTTCGAGTTGTGACCATCCCAGGTCTCTCCAGACATTGCCGCGGGGTCCCCTGCGGACAGAATAGCCCTTAGTTGACAACCCTGACCATAGACATGATAGGTAGATAGGTAGGTCGATAGATGATAGATAGATAGATAGATAGATAGATAGATACGATGGATAGATACGGATGGATGGATGGTCGGACGGACGGACAGGTAGATAGATGATAGGTGGGTATGGATAGATAAGATGGATCGATGGATTGATAGATGGTTGGATGTATGGTTAGATAGACGGATGGACGGATAGATAGATGATACATGGTTGTGTAGATGGATAGAAGAATGGATGGATGGATCGATAGATGATGGATGGATACATGGATGATAGATGGTTGGATGGATGGATGGATAGATACATATGATGAATAGATGGATGGATGGATAGATGGATGGATGGATGGATGGATAGATGGATGGATGGATGGATGGATAGATGGATAGATGGATGGATAGATAGATGGATGATAGATGGTTGGATGGATGGGTAGGTGGATGGATAGATAGTCTCTCATGCCTGGTCCAGGATTCTCAGCCTGGGCACTGTTGACATCTTGGGCTGCATGACTCTGACCCAGGGCTTCCTGGGTACTGCAGGTGCTACACTGTAGGTGTCCCCGTCTCTATCTCCCACATGCCAGTCGCACCCCCCCCCGTTGTGACCACCATAAGTGTCCCCAGAAGAGTATGTACACATGCATATAAACCTGTATTGCACATATATACATGTATGTATGTGCTGTGTCTGTATACATGTGGCACACACATACTTCAACGTGACAGCCTATGATGTATTTTGATGGCATTGTTCCTTCTCATGTTTCCCCCTTCATGTTCCGTGCTGGCTGATCTCCCATGAGGCATGGGATAGGGGCTCAAAGGAGGTTTAGACACCCATAGCCTGTGTCGTGATACAGACGCAAGGACCCAGAATCCTCAGAGCAGCTGGGGGCCGGGGTGGTGGGCATGGACCCAGACCCTTCTTTGTTGGGCCTGCTGACGATGAGTAGGGGGAACAGGCTGGCTGGTGTTTTGACGGTTTTTCACTTGCACTGAGGGTGATCTACACGGCAGAAGCGTGGACACAAGGAAGGGCTGCTGGGTGGGCCAGGCTACGCCTTGGGTTAGGGAGTTAGCCACGGACTCTCGGCGGGAGTTACAAACCCAGCCTGGGCTCCCACAGACGTGGGATGAGCCTCTGGGGACAGGTGCCAGCTTCAAACCCGGGGTGTCCTCCTTGCCAGCTCTGGGACCCCAGAAAAGTCCTTCTACCTCTCTTTGCCTCAGTTTGCTCCTCTGCAAAATGGGCCTAACACCTACCCAATTCCAGTGAGATGAATGAAGGAGCTCACCCATGTGATGGACTAGGGGACGCCCTGGTGTGGGGTTTATCCTCTGATGGCTGCCCATTGTGTGGGGGGGTTTATGCTTGAGTCCCAGAAACTAGCGTACCCATTACACAGCTTATCCTTGTCTGGAGACCCTCTCCCTGGGCCCTCACTTGGATTGAATCCTACCCTAGAAGTATTTTCATGACAATTGAAAAAAAAAAAAAAAACCTTCATGGACATTTGCAGAATCGCATAGATTTCCAAAGAGATCAGACTTAAAAAAAGAGAGAGAGAGAGTGAGAGAGAGCACGCCAAGGTCAAACACTGAAGTTTTCTTAACCAAGTCATTCTGAATCTGAATAATTTGTATGTTGACCAAATAACGATGACATTCTCAAGTCTTGGTTAACTGTGGGGTGTGTTTTCTTGGTGGTCTTTTCCAGAAAGAGCAAAAAGGGCGGGGTAGAAGTAGGTTCCCAGCACCTCGTGACAGAGGCAGAGTTCTCGATGTCCTGGCTACTTCAGCCCTGTTGTTTTGGGTATTTCGATTGGACCCTTTGCTGGAGATTGAGGTCAAAATCTGCCTAAGGGGGGGCTCTTTGGCTTCTGTCTGGCATGATGGACACGAGGCGCTCCCCCAGCCCACGGAGCAAGGAGAGAAGAATAGGGTATATATTACCACACGGGATGAACCCCGAAATGCCCTGTTGAGAAATAGACAGTATGGCAACACCCCATGTGCCCTTTGATCCCAGTGATGTCACAGGGACAGGAAGGACAAGTCCAGAGAAGCAGAAACAGTAGTGGGCACTGGTTTGGGGCTGGCCATTGGGATGGGGAGAAAACGGGCATCGGGCATCCTCTGGGGGTGATGGAAATGTCCCACAGCTGCACTGTGGTGTCTCGGGGAGGCCTCTACAAACGTACTACCAAGCGGCTGAGCCGTGTGGGGGGCAAATGGTACCTTGATTTGGCGGTGACGTGGGCGAAGCTGGAGGACATGATGGTTAGTGACATAAGCCCGACACAAAAGGACAAATACTTTGTGATCCCACGTGTATAAGAGGCCCCTGGTGGCATCGCCTTTACAGGGACCGGGGGCAGATGGTGGGGGATAGGAAGGAGCCTTCTTGTTTAGTGGGGTCAGAGTTCCCCTTGTACTCGATGAAGGATGGTGGACACAGACCTTGGGGACGGTGGCACAGCTCCGTGAATGTGTGTGACATCACTGACCTGCACACTTAAATGTGGATAAAATGGTGAGTTTTGTGCGTGTGTGTTTTACCGCAATATAACTGGGAGGAGAAGAAAAAAACAAAACAGAACAGCTGGGTTGGGAATGTTTGCTCCTTCCACGTTCAGCAGTTTGGAGAAGTGCCACTGGGCAGAAGTCGATGTCTCTGTGTGACATTTCCCGACATGCCTCGTGTTATTAAGGTACAGATATTGTCAAATATGCTTAAAGGACAGAGCGTTATAGAATGGAAGCCCCGGCCCCTTCCCCGAGCTTCAGGCATTAGCAGGGATCAGCCTTCTCCCGTTTTCTCCCACATGTAGGCACGCCCAGGTGCGTACATGTGTATATATGTACACGTGTGTGCGCGTGTGTGTGTGTGTGTGTACATGCATGGGCGCCCACACGTATTCATGTGTGCTTACGGATACATCGTGTGCATGGACGGGTGTGTGCCTGTGTGTGCACGGACGGATGGATGCCTGCTGCCTGCACATGGGTACGCTGTGTGCACATTTGCACGCACGTGTGCACACATGGATGGATGCCCACATACCGGCGTGAATATGGGTACATGTGGTGCGTGCCAACGCGTGTGGATGCATCTGTTTGTTCCAGTGTTTTAAGCAAAGCCTCAGACTCCATACCATCGGACACATGAGTACGTACACGCGTCCGTCTTACAAAAAAGGATTTCTTTTCAAAAGCTCCATCATCTGAGGCAACAAATCCTTGATTGTTCCGCACGCCCCGTCCGCGTTGTGCTGCCCCCATTCGTGCCGTGTGCTTCCCAGGAACCCGAATCCACGCTCCGTGCGCAGTCTTCTCGTTGCAGACCCCGGTGTCTGGCTGGAGGGTACGTGCGGTTCAAAGCGAGATGGTCCGTGTCTTTGGAAAGCCGGGGTCTCAGAGGCCCGAAGGAGAAGTGCAGTCCCCTTCTGCGTGGGGAAAACTCAGGGTTGGCATCAGGGGTCCTGTGTCTCAGGGGGCCTCTGGCGCTCCACATGCAGACAGCCGCTGAATCCCGGTACCACAGCTTTTTAAAAACTTCACACCTGGATGTACCCATGCACGTGTCTACGTTTATTGGCTCCGTAACAGGTGAACAGGTCGGGTTCCTGGGGAACCCACACACACACACGCACACACACGCCCAGAGCACACAACGTTATTTGCGTGTGGAGCTAGGACCAAGGCCAGCCCTGGGATTTCAGGCGATAGGACAGACACGGTGGCATGAAACGGGGACCTGTGCTCTGGGAGTCCCAGCAACAGGAAGGACCCGGTGTGATCGCAGCCCCCGTCCTCCCGCTAACACCCCACGCTGAGATCGGCCCGCCTGCTGGGCAGTGACCCCTCTGACAGTCCCCTCTGTCCCCCGAGGGCTCCAGGGGCCTGACATCCCGCGGAGGAAGATATTACACAGACAGGCTTCCTCCAGAATCAGGGTCTGCGGCTTCTCACGGGCCGCCGCCGTGTTCTGTGCGGCTGGTTTGAGGTTTTCACAGCTTTTGTGCACCAGACGCACCGAGGCCCACGCCCAGAGCGTGCCTGGGGGTATCTTGCGGGCTCAGGATTTCCGACTGGATGCGGCTGCTGCCTCGACGTTGCTTTCTAGGGTTTGGCCTTCGGAGAGTCAGGAAGAGCGGCGGGTTGGGGCTCTTTCCCTGCAGAGTTCGGGTCCCTCGTGCCAGCCTTCGTGGAGCCACCTGTGTGCCCTCAGGTAAATCCTTCTCCAGGTGAGTCTCAAGGGGTCTCCCGGAAGGGTTCCTATGGTGACTTTGAGTTCCAGGCACACACCTGGGCATTCAGGACTCATGTGCTCAGGTGCTGTCCCCTGTGGGGACGTTCCAGCTGCAAGGCGGTGGGCAATGACTATGTGTAACCCCGGCGTGGCGTGCAGGGTTTCAAGGGGACGCCGGAGGCTGACTCTCCTTTCCCAAGGGCGAGCGTAGCATGCACTCACCTACTTTCCCCCTGCACGTGCCTCTGCACACCCCAGACAAGCACGGGCACGAGGCAAACCTACGAAACTGGGTTTGATTCTAAGACCACGCACAGGGAGGGGGACTGGAGCCTCCAGAGGCTGGTGTTGGGGTCCCCAATTATACACTAACCTCCGGAGTCCACAGCACATACCGGGCAGCACATAACGAGTTACTCCCGGAACAGGCGTCTCTGTGAAGGGTGGCCTCCCATGTCGTTTTCAGATTCCACGTGTGGATGTCACTGTGTACGCGGAGGAGGAGAGAAGTCACCTCTCGGCCATGTGGTCTTGAGGACTGAGGAGCCCGTGGGTGGGGAGTACCTGCTGGGACTCAGGCCTTCTCTCTGCAAGCCGCCTTTGGGAGCCTCTGGGTTTGGGGCTCCAGAGATGGTAGCACCAGCCCCGTCCACCTGGCAGGCCCGTTCCAAAACTAAAAATCTGGAGACGGTGTGCAAAAAGGCATTGGTGGCATTGGAAATCTCTGGGGCCATGTGTTGGGGACTCTCGGGGAGGCTCTGTGGCATCACAAGGGCTGACCCTGCAGGGGTCCCGAGAGCCCTGCATGCCAAGAGATTGGGTCCCATGACCCAATTTGCAATTTCAGAGTGGCCCAGATGATGCGTCCTGGGGAGGCCCTCACAAACCGGAGACTTAAAACCACAGGGATCAATCCCCTCCCAGCTCTGGAGACCAGTCTGAGATCCAGGCGGGGCAGGGCTGGGCTCCCTCCTGAGGCTCCAGGGCAGGGTCCTTCCTGCCTCTTCCAGCTTCTGGGGCTCCTGGCGTCCCTGGGCTGGTGGGCATGCCCCTCCCATCTCTGCCTCCGTCCTCACGTGCCTTCTCCTCTGCATCTGTCTCTCTTCTGTCTCTTACAAGGACACCTGCCATTGGATTTAGGGTCACCCCGATCCAGCAGGTCACATTCTGAGGTCCTGGGTGGACACGGGCTTGGGGTCACTGTTCGCTCGAGGACAGCCGTGTCAGTTTTCCTTCCGAAGCAGTGACACCAGGAGCAAGTCCCCCTTCCCCCCAGGGGCCCCTGGATGGCAGGTATCACTCTCCTTCCGTACATGGAACCTGCCGTGGGGAGGCTGCCTGTCACGTAGTCATTCCTCCCTGGAGGTCCCGGAGTCCGAGGCCGTGCATGCCCTATGTGATGACCGAAGTATCAAACTGCTATTTCAGGCAAATCCCGGGCTCCTGGAAACCCACTGTTTTGGCACCCCAGACCCCCCTGGAGATGGGGTTCCTTGTGTTCCCGAAACAGCACACGAGTCTGGGCTGGTCCAGATGTGCCCTGGGCTCAGGAAGAGACAAGGATGTCCCTGCCCATATGCTGAGGCGGCCAGCAGGCACAAAGGGGCCTCGGGCGCTGATCCTTCCCCAGGCATCTGGGGTCCATGGTCTTGCGGGGTGTCTGGGTCCCAGAGGGTGCCATGGGTCAGGATAGGTGCGCAAGGCCACCTCATACCCTGGGAGGCCTTGCTTGTGACTCAGGGGCTCTCGCCTGGGAGCAGGAGGCCGAAAACTAGCCAGAGGGCACCTCGGGGCCAGCTGGACCCAGAAGCATGTCCGGGAGCCCGGCAGAAGGTGCGGACGGCCATCGACCTTCACAGTGCTCAGCCTCAGCAGCATCTCATGTGCCTAGAGACCCTCCACCCGCATGGGGGGCCTGACCCACACCTTCAGGATGGATGTCCTTCCTGTCTGGACCTTGTAAGTTGTGACATCTTTGTAGATTGTGCGGCTGGAGGAACCAGAGTGACCAAACGCTTTGAAAGCCTTGCAATGGTTGCTCCTGGGGGGACCGGGTAACACGGGGTGCAGGGGACCTGTGAGCTCTGGAAGAACAGAGGCCAGAGGGGCCCGTCTGCCCTCGTAGGGGTGCATCCCAGCACGCACAGTGACTGAGGCTGGTACGAACAGCAAGTCCAGGAGCCACCAGGCTGGGGAGCAGCACGTGTCCCTGGCTTCCCAGAGCAGGAGGCACAGAGAACAAGGCAGGCGGAGGTTGGGGGTCCATGGGGTCTCAGCTGGGCTGGCTAGATGTTCTGTCAGGTTGGGTCGTCATCCTCAGGGAGCAGGGCCAGTCGGCCTGGCCCGCTGCGTCCCGTCCTGTTACACCGCGGGGTGTTCTGTCTTGTTGATCTGCGGCCGTGTTGCGACACCAGACTCGAGCCCACCCGGGGACCCTCTCTGTGCGCACTGGGCGGATGCGTCATAGGAGCAGCAAGCCTATCTGGGGACCCTCTCCGTGTGCACCGTGGCGGATGTGGCAGTAGGAGCCGCAGGCAGGCCGTCGGGGAAGGGCCGTCCCCTCCGTCTCCAGCCGTTACCCCCGCCCCCACTCTGGGGTGCGGGGCTCAGAACACGCTCTCCTGCCTCTGGAGGCACGGCCGGCTGGGGCCGTCGAGCCCTTCGCCGTGGCCGCTGGACATGGAGCGCGCCGACAGCGTCCGGGCGGAGAACAGGGTGTCCCTGCGCGTGTTGCGGCTGCAAGCCTGCAGCCGCCCGTAGCCCAGATAGCGCCGCAGCCGCAGCTGGAACTCGCGGGACGCGAAGTAGTACACGAAGGGGTCCAGACAGTTGTTCACGCAGCTGAGGCAGAGCGTGAGCTTGTACACGTGGTAGTAGCTGCCGCCCAGGAACAGGCGGCTCACCATGTGCACCAGCAGCACGAAGTTGTTGGGCGCGAAGCAGGTGACGAAGGCCAGTAGCACCACGACGGCCAGGCTCACGGCGCGGCGCCGCTGGCCGCGGCCATGCGGGTCCGAGGTGCGCAGCAGCGTCAGGATGGTGGCCGTGTAGCAGGCCACGGTGACCACGAACGGGATGAAGAACAGCACGATGAACAGCGTGAAGAGGAAGATGGCCCACATGGCCACGCTGGGCAGCATGGTGGACTTGAGCACGTCGAAGCAGGTGACGATGCCCAGCGCCTCCACGGTGTAGGTGAGGTCGGTGCGCGCCAGCGGGGACAGCGCGCCCAGCAGCAGTAGCCAGACGCAGGCGCAGGCGGCCACGGCGTAGCGGCGCCGGCGCCAGCGCGCGGAGGCCAGCGGGTACACGACGCCCAGAAAGCGCTCCACGCTGATGCACGTCATGGTGAGGATGGACGAGTACATGTTGGCGTAGAAGGCCACGGTGACCACGTTGCACAGCAGCTCCCCGAACACCCAGTGGTTCCCGTTGCAGTGGTAGTAGATCTGGAAAGGGAGCACGCTGGCCAGCATCAGGTCCGTGACGCTCAGGTTGATCATGAAGATGACCGACGGGGACTTGGGCCCGATGTGGCAGCAGAGGACCCACAGGGAGAAGAGGTTGCCCGGGATGCTGACCAGCGCCACCAGCGAGTACACGACGGGCAGGACCACCGCGATGGTCGGGTCGCGCAGCATCAGGATGGTGGCGTTGTCCGGCCGTGTCATGTTCATATCCATCCTGGCGCTGCGGCTCCCGCGCCTGCGCAGGTCTGAAAGGCAAGGGGCGCTCAGGTGAGGAGGGGAGCAGGGCGGGACTCCCTGCGGGCCCCCCTCTCTGGCCTCCCCAGCAGTCCCGCACCCCTGTGTGCACCGGCTGTGGTCCTCCTGCGTCACGGAGCTGAGCTAAGCGCGCTACATCCTGCAAAGGCGCAGGACTTGGACATTCGCTCCCGTCCTGCTACTGGGACGCGCAGGGAGCGTGCTGCAAGCTATGGCGCAGCGGCTTCATCGTTGGGGCCAGGAGGACGCGAGGAGAGGCACGCCAAGGGATTGGGGGGTTACAGACTTACGGAGGCGCAAACCGGGCTTCCGGCCGCGGAAGTTTCTTGGGGACCCCTGGAAAGTGGAGGAGGCGACCCCAGGCCCTCCTGACTTTCGCTGGTGCTCCACCTCGCCTCACGAGGGCGCTGTGTCGTCAGCACTAACCATCCCGGCATCTCCACCCGGGTCACCGGTTCCTGGCCTCGTGCTTTCTTCTGTTTCGAGCTTCGACACCCCGGGTCCGCTCACCTGCATCTGAGGCCCTAATCTTGGGGTGTCCACTGCAGGGGTGCGGGGAACTTTGGAGGCTCTGATGAGGGCTCTGGGAGGGCTCCACACAGACCAGGCAGGAAGTCCCCTGCTCCCTCACCAAAGGCCCCACAGCCCCCGCTCCCCATCCATTTAAGGGCATGGCCACGGGTGGAGGGACTAGTGCGCCCACTTGTCACACAGCTGTTTCACATCTCCGCTTCAAGGTAACAACACCCACGCGCTTGTCTCGAGATACAGCACGTATGCACCTGTCCCCGCGACCAGACACGCGCCCTCCGGTGTGGTTTCAAAGCCCCAGCGCCCTCCCAGCCTCCCAGGTCCAGGAAGCCAGATGCCCAGGAGGGCAGCCCTGTCCGGCTGGGGCAGACAGAGTGCCTGACTGGTGTCCACATTACCATCTGGGTCTTACCTCTGCTTTGTTCTCTAGATTTCTCAACTCAGGTCCTGTGCCTTTCCCCGGGCTATGGGCTGAGGCTGGGGGTGGGTTCCATAACAGTCAGAATATGTACCAAGAGGGGAGGACATGGCAAACTCCGAGCATTTTGCTTATCCAAGTTTTCCAGAAACAGGGATTTCGTTTCTTTATTGTGGTCCAGGACCAGGGGATCCCGGTCAGGCCCCGTCTATGCCCTGTCTGTGACCCAGGCCTGATCAGGCAGGGTTGATGGGGGTGGAGATCTGGCTGCGGGAGGTACAGGTTGTTTGTGCCATGGGTCCCCACTCATCCAGCTGGGCGTGCATGTGAGGGTGTCTGTGAAGGGGTTTCCTAGGTGCGGCTCTGGAGCCAAGCAGCTGTCTTGAAGTAAAGACATGATGCTCTGTCCTGCGGTGGGCCTCGTCTAATCAGGGGAAGGCCTGAAAAAGGAAACACTGAGGTTTCTGCGGGGTCAGGTCTCTCCTGAGTCTCCAGCCTGCCCCCCTACCTTGCAGATTCCAGGCTCACGAGCCCTGCCATCCTGGGAGCCCAATTCCTTGGTGTCAATTTTTTTTTTGTATCTCTATCTATACACGCATGTGTGTTTATACACATATATACACATACATGTTCTATTACATAGATTTACGCACATGTATGTGTATGCAACCATGTCCAATCGTGCATGCAATGCATTGTGTGTATTGTATACGTACCTGTATACGGACCCGTCCTATTACATGTTTATCCTGTTGCATGTGTATATGGTCCTTCTATAGCACATGAATCCTACTTCATAAAAATACACGCATGTATTCATACATGTACGCTATCCTATACGCATTGTATCGCATGTGCACACGCATGTGTTTTCTATTACATATATGTTTGCACCCACAATAGCTAGAGTACTTGCCCTGCTGCACATACGTGTATGCGTGTAGACACACACACACCATTGTGTACGCTCTGTGGCGTACACGTTTATATATACATGCACACATGCAGGGTGTCCTTTGACCTATATACACAGGTCTTCCTGCGTATATACACACACTTGAATGCATTCATGCACACGTATCCTCTCGTGTGTATATGTACGCACACACGTGTATATCCTGCGTATGCGTCCTACATGTACAGATGCTCACACCCCCACACACGTGTTCTGTGGCATGACGTCCCCTTGTGCATGTCCACATGAATGAAGGTGCTAAGCACAGATGTGTGTACATGCACATATACATGCACATGTGTACAGATGTAACCGTATGCGTACGTGATCGTATACATGCACGCAATGTGTGCACACGTGCGTACACGTGCATGCACATGTGTGTATTGTTTATATGAGCGCGTGCATGTTCTGTGGTGCACACACCCTACTGCGTTCATACACGTACATCTAGGTGATGTGCAGCCACAGATGGACATAGGTCTCCATCCTTTTGTGCCTGTTTCTCTGCAGAATGCTTGCGCATACAGGGGTGACGGACGGACCGCCGAGGGGCCTCATGGCGGCCGGGAGGTAACTATTAGCTGTTCCTTACATTTGTGCCGATTCTCATCTTAAGAGATTGTAGGCCCCTCACACGTGCTCCCACAGGCAGTGTCGTGGTGGGGCACCCGCTCCGGCCTCTGACCTCAATCCCCAGGTGTGTACCGAGGCCCAGCCCGTGCCCTGCTCCTTGTCAGGACACGGGTGCTGCTCCTGGGGGACGGGGTCTCCTCTGATGGTGCATTTGGCCCCAGGCGCCGTGCACAGCCCACAGGGACCTCGGCAATCAGGGTGCCTGCCCCACGCGGCCCGATCTCTGTCCCTCATTTGCATGAGGCTCAGACATCTGCTGCTTTCCACGACGGCCTCCCTGTTTGTCCTGGTGCAGACATTTTCTCTGATGAAAATCTGTGCATGCTGTGTCCTGGACACCCCTGCCCCTTGGAGCGTCCAGAGAGACACAGATGGAGACAGACCCAGGGGGATTCTCTGCAGACGGCGCTCTCGGCCCTGGAGGAACATTATGATGTGTGAGTGGAAGTGGGAGCCCCTTGCCACATCTTAGTTATCTGTGTCCATGTGTGCAACCGGGACCTGGCACCACGGGACCTGGTACCGAGAGACGTGGCTTGGCGTTGCAGACACCCGGGAACATGGGCTGGAATCCCCGCGGGGGACCCTGGAAACCCGCTCCCCTGCCCCCTTTGCAGCTGGTTTGCCTTTTAGGTTTCACAGCCTGATGGAGCGTGGTGGGAGGACCGAGGGCGAGCGGCTCTCCAGGAATCAGCCTGGAATATGGAAACCACATTGGACGCAGCAGGTGAGATCCGTCTCCCGCTGCTGCTGGAACTGAACTCGCGTTTCTTCTGCGGACCTCCCAGCCCGGGCTCTTCCGCTCCCACGGAGGAGTGTGCCACGCTGTACACCCCGCTGCTGGCCGCCCGTCCCTCGCACCCCTCCCTGAAAGTCGAGGTGCTTTCTTTGGTTTAAACAGTCTGGGGGGATTGCTTTGGTGGTTTCCTTCTCCCCTGCGCCCACCTGGACCGTATCTGGCTTCTCCACTTTCGAGTGCTGGAAAAATGCCGTCCAACGTTGAAAGTCAGGGGGAAAGAGAGCACTGTGGGTGCCTTTTCTGGGTTTCGGAGACAGTGCCTGCATGGGGCAGCCCGGCTTGGGGTCAGCTGAGGACGTTTAGTGGGGGCTCGAGGACACATCTTTAGGGTGCCTTCAGGGAGGGTGACATGTGATGCTGAGTTGACGGTGCAGCCGGCACACCATGGCTCCCTGGGGACATGGGGCTCTCTGCAGGCCGGAGGAGAGGGCCTCCTAGAACCTGTCCATCTACGAGAAATGAGTGTCGGTGAAGCCGTCCTGTCCGTCGGTGTGGTTCTGTGACAGTGGCTTGAGCTGACCCGTCCACTATACTGATGGCCTCAGACCATAGCTGCTGGCCGTGCCCCAGCTACACTGACGGCCTTAGTCCATTGCTGCTGGCCCCTCCACTCATTATACTGATGGCCCCAGGCCTTGGCGGCTGGCTCCTCCAACCATTATACTGATGGCCCCAGGCCATTGCGGCTGGTCCCTCCAGATGTAATGCTGATGGCCCCAGGCCATTGCTGCCGACCCCTCCAGCCATTATACTGATGGCCTCAGACCATTGCTGCTGGCTCCACCACCCATTATATTGGTGACTTCAGACCATTTCTGCTGGCCCCTCCAGTCACTGTACTGATGGCCTCAGGCCATTGCTGCTGGGCACACCACCTGTTATACTGATGGCCTCTGGCTGTTGCTGCTGGCCTCTCCAGCCATTATACTGATGGCCTCAGGCCGTTGCTGCCGGCCTCTCCAGCCATTATACTGATGGCCTCAGGCCATTGCTGCTGGCCTCTCCAGCCATTATACTGATGGCCTCAGGCCGTTGCTGCTGGCCCTGCTCACACTGTGATTGCACAGGAGCTCCTGTGACCCCATGGGTCACACCAACTCCTCTGCATGGCCGGCACCCATGGCACAGTGCCCCTCACCCATTCCGTGGTCCTGCCACCATGCCCGGAAGTGGTGAGGTAGGCAACAGGGTCACATCTTATAGACCTGGGCTCAGAGGTTGCAAGAGGGACTCGTTAGAGCAGGGGTTGGATGGGCCCAGTGCATGAGCCTCTCCACCAGGATACTGACCGATGGCCTCAGGCCTGTTCCGGTTTCTCTGTTCCAGCAAGGTGTTCTGGTTCTGACCGGTTCTGTCCTCAGGAGCCTGGGCCTGCTGCTACTGTGCAGAACGTCTCAAGTAACAATCAGTGGGTCTTTTCCTGGAAGCTGGACAGTGCCCCACAGGCGGAGGGCTTGGGACTCGGGCTCCTGCGGCCGAGGCCAGTTTCCCTGACCTTGGTGGCTTGTGGTCCAGATGTGGATTCCTGTTTGCTGTTCTGCAGGGGGCTGAGGCTGTGGACTGCCCTTTTGCACGATGTGGGGGCTCCTGAGAGCAGGGTGTGGGGCTCAGGGTGGCCTCTCGGTAGCTCAGGCCTCCCTCCCATGGACAG